GCTCTCGAGCCGCAGTTTGCCGACCACAGCTCTATTCACTTCAAGATTATATAACTTTTCTCCATGTGTGTTTTTTTAATCCTATATAATAAAGAGGGAATATGCAAATTGATCATCACTCCGCCACAAAGATGGCAGTGCCCACAGCGGAGGCGGGTGTGTGTGTGTGTGTTCCGTAACATAAGATGGCTGCATCCACAGAGGAGGCTGAATTCCTGTAATGAGTCTTTTTTTTTTTTTAAATATATTTTATTGATTTTTTACAGAGAGGAACGGAGAGGGAAAGAAAGTTAGAAACATCGATGAGAGAGAATCATTGATCAGCTGCCTCTTGCACACCCCCCACTGGGGATGTGCCCGCACCCAAGGTACATGCCCTTGACCGGAATTGAACCTGGGACCCTTCAGTCCACAGGCCGACACTCTATCCACTGAGCCACACTGGTTTTGGCTCGTAATGAGTCTTAATGAGCAATCAGCAGGGACCTGAGATGGCTCCCCCACCCCCGTGGGGCTTGACAGGGGGCCTCAGGCCGAGCTCCCTGCCCAGTGGGGCTTGGAGGGCCTCAAGGTGTGACCTCCCACCTCATTGCTAGGCCGGGGGACCTCAGGCTGTGCCCCCTGCCCAGAGGGGCTTGATAAGGGTGGGACTGGCCGGGTGTGGATCCACCCCACTGGGGGGTGGGTGGCTGGGATTGGGTCTCGCACAATTTTGAGGTGCATGTGGGTGGACAGGGACTTGACTTTGGGTCCTGTGGGGTGCCCCCAACTCTGACAGAAGAAAGATTTTCATATACTATAATTTTCATATACAATAATTTTCTTTCATCTCTGACACTTCTATTATAGAGAAAGGGCAAATAGCAATATTAAAATATTTCCTCTAATCAATCCCTTTAATGTGCATGAATTTTGTGCACTGGGCCACTAGCATTGTATAATATATCAGGTTTATCCATTGTCCTGTTGATGAACATTTTGGTTGTTCCCAAGTTTTTGCTATTGCTTCGATGAACATAATTTGGTGGGTTTCACTCTAGTGCAGTGGTTCTCAACCTTCCTGATGCCTCGATCCTTTGATACAGCTCCTCATGTTGTGATGACCCCCAACCATAAAATTATTTTCATTGCTACTTCATAACTGTAATTTTGCTACTGTTATAAATTGTAACATAAATATCTGTGTTTTCAAATGGTCTTAGGTACATGTGTCAAACACAAGGCCCGCGGGCCAAATCCATCCCGCCAGGCCTTGCAATGTGGCCCTCACCGCGCTGTCATCACTGCACTCCGCTGCGTTTCCATCACAATGACAGTTTATGACTGTTCAGTAAACCATTCGGCCCGAGATTTAGGCTGGATTTTAGATTTTGGCCCCTTCTCTGATTGAGTTTGACACCCCTAGTAGGCAACCCTGTTAGTGATTCTCAACCTGTGGGTTATGACCTCTTTCACAGGGGTCACCTAAGACCATGGGAAAACACAGATATTTACATTACGATTCATAACAGTAGCAACATTACAGTTATGAAGTAGCAACGAAGATAATTTTATGGTTGGGGGTCACCATATGAGGAACTGTATTATAGGATCATAGCATTAGAAAGGTTGAGAACCGCCCTAGCCGGTTTGGCTCAGTGGATAAAGCGTCAGCCTGTGGACTCAAGGGTCCCAGGTTCGATTCCGTCAAGGGCATGCACCTTGGTTTCGGGCACATGCCCAGAGGGGGGTGTGCAGGAGGCAGCTGGTCAGTGCTTCTCTCTTATCGATGTTTCTGGCTCTCTATCCCTTCCCCTTCCTCTCTGTAAAAAATCAATAAAATATATTTAAAAAAAAAAGAGAGAGAGAAAGGTTGAGAACCATTGCTCTAGGGTACTGTCTTGGGCTGGTTTCTCCAGGGAATACGGTAGGTTTGGCGGTTCACCTGTAGGACTCTCGCTGGGGAGTGCTCTTCGGAACGCACGTGGAAGGACTCAAAGGCGCAGGACTGGGAGTGAGAGAATCTGAGCTGCAAAGGAGTCACAAAGGCACTTCTGCTCTGGGGCTGGGTGGTCCTTCAAGTTGTTCCAAATTGCTGTAAGGAGGCTTGGCCTCACGCCCCCATGCTGGCTACAGGCTGCCCCAGGAGGGGCTTGTCCTGGGCAAGGCAGCTCCTTCAGTAAGAGCAGTTCCCTGAGAGGAACTCAGCTGTAGCTCAGCAGTCGATGCCCTCAGCAGCCACGGGACCAGGGCCTGGTCCTGAGGGCTGGGCCGGGGATGCCCACAGCATCGCAGGCACATTTTAACTTACTAGCTTTTGCTTAAGTGTTTTAAAGTTGCTGGTGCCAGCTTCTGCTCCCTTCTGCACTATGAGAGTCTGTATTGCTATTCTTCCATTCCACATTTCCATCTTCGTCTTCCCGGACTATTTTCTGGGTAATTTCTCTGGTCTTTCTTGATGTGCAAAAAAATGATCTCTTTGGTTGTTTTAATCTTTTTAAATTTTATTTATTTTTTATTGATTTCAGAGAGGAAGGAAGAGGGAGAGATAGAAACATCAATGATGAGAGAGAACCATTGATTGGCTGCCTCCTACATCCTCCCCTACTGGGGATTGAGCCCACAACCTGGGCATGTGCCTTTGACTGAAATCAAATCCGGGATCTTTCAGTCTGCAGGCCGATGCTCTATCCACTGAGTCAAACCAGCAAGGGCTACGCACACTGCCTTTTAGAGAGAGTGGAAGAGAGGAAGGGGGTGGGGAAGAGAGAAGGAGAAACATGGATCTGAGAGACACATCTACTGGTTGCCTCCTGCACTTACCCCCACCAGGGCCGGGATCAAACCTGCAACCCAGATACCGTAAGTGCCCTTCACTGGGAATTGAACCTGTGACCCTTAGGTGTGCAGGACAACGCTCTAACCACTGAACCCACCAGCCATGGCTGATCTGTTTTTTTAAATCCTCATCTGAAGATATGTTTTGTTGATTTTTTAAACTTTTTTTTGGGGGGTGGTGGTGAAGAGAGGGAGAGAGGGAGGGAGGGAGCGAAGGAGGGAAGGAGAGAAAAAGAGAAACATGGATGTGAGAGAGAAAAAAACATCAATTGGTTGTCTCCTTATGTGCCCCAACCGGGGATCAACCCAAAACTTGGCCTCGTACCCTGACTGGAAACTGAACCCACCACTCTGCAGTGTACGCGATGACGCTCCAACTGAGCCCCAGGCCAGGCTGTATCTGCTTCTTAGAGTCATCCCCCCCACCCCACCCCAAGGATATTGCCAGCCTGGAGCCCCCTTTCTTTTCTCTTCTCCCCTCTTCCTTCTCTTATTCTTGAATCTTTATTTCAGAGGATTTTATAAAATTATTGCAACAACAGTACCTTCTAATTCTCTTAAGGTTTTCTTTTTTAGTTTAAATATTTGATTCATTTGTCCTGAGCATCATTAAAAATAGACCAGGAGTCCAGCTGGCATGGCTCAGTGGTTGAGCGTTGACCTATGAACCAAGAGGTCATGGGTGATTCCCCATCAGAGCGCATGCCAGGGCTGTGGGCTCAGTCCGCAGGGTGGGGCATGCAGGAAGCAGGCAATCAATGATTCTTTCTCATCACTGATGTTTCTCTCTCTCCCTCTCCCTTCTTCTCTGAACTCAATAAAGATATATTAAAGCCCTAACCAGTTTAGCTCAGTGGACATAGTGTTGGCCTGCAGACTGAAAGGTCCCAGGTTTGATTCCAGTCAAGGGCATGTACCTTGGTTGTGGGCACATCCCCAGTAGAGGGTGTGCAAGAGGCAGCTGATCGATGTTTCTCTCTCATCGATGTTTCTCTCTATCCCTCTCCCTTCCTCTCTGTAAAAAAATCAATAAAATATATTAAAAAAAAAAGTTAAAGCAGATGTTAAAAGTCTCTTTTGCTTCACTCATATCCAGAATCTTTTATAGACAAGCAACTGTAATCCCCAAGGCTTTGTTCATGGGTAAAAAGCAGAGAGAGCGCGCCTAAGGGCCTGGATGGGCTGTGGTGCTGGCTGAGTGAGCCAGGCACACTCCCTACTCCGCGCTTCCTCACCTGTGAAGCACAGGAAGTCCCGATTGCCTCAGAGGGCGTGGTGGGGACGAGGTGATAAATGCACAAGGCCTGGCACAAAACAGACGCTTATAAAGAACATCCTAGTGATAGTGACGGGACTTGCCCTTGGCAGTGCCGCAGCCGGGAACAGAGCCCTGGGTCCGAGGCTGAGCCGCACCTCTGGGCGCGCTAAGTGCAGGCGACGGTGTTCTGTGCTCTTACCTCCTAGCATTGGGGAGAGGACTGGCCTTTTGCAACTGAGCCACAGTCCTCAACGATTTTCTCCCCCGATGGTGGATTATAGGAAAGGAGAGGGAGGTGAGAAAACTAGAAGACTGCATCATGAACCAGGCACTCAATTTCAGGGACGCCCCTTCCAAGCCTCCTCTCCGCCCTCCTATCCCGGCTGTCACTCCCAGCGGGAGTCAGGTGGCTCTGGCCCGCTGGCCAGCCGAGGACACGGAGGCGTGTGAGAGGTCCGCCATCTTAACCTGTGGGCTGGCTGGGACAGCTCCCCTCCGGCCGTATGTGTACTTTATGCTCATCAGCCGCGGGCTCTGGCTCTTCCCCTCTCCTCTGGGCTTCAGGGACTGGGGCCTGCAAACCACACTCCTAGCTTCCCTTACAGCTGCTTTTCCGTCCCCCCCCTCCCCTCCACGGACGGCACTCTGGCAGGAGCAGCGAAGTTCCAGGTGTGTCTCCCGCCCCCCACACATCCCAATGTCCCTGCAGGGCAGGGATGGCACCTTCTCAGTCCCCCGTAACCCTAGCCGACTGACGAGTGGTGAGCAGAGGGGGTGAGGGAGCTCCCACCAGCCGGGACCTGGCAGCACCCCAGTCTCATTTGCCAGCTGTTTCCTTCCTCTCTGTGCACCACATATGGAGGAGGGGGAGCAGATGGGCCCCCAGGAAAAACACACAGAGAACTGAGTCAGCACAAGTCAACTCTTAAATACTTAATTCCCATTTATTTAAAGTTCATCCGTCTGTGTACACTATTTATATTAAAAACACAGGAAACGGGGGCTCCTAGCAAAAATATACATTTCCATTTTGGAGATTGTTCAGTCACAGAGAAGAGCCGTCTTCTCAGCACGAGAGCGGGGAGCGGGCGGGCACAGCCTCTCCCTCACAGTGCTGGCCCCGGTCAGCGTGGGGAGGATGGGAGGGCAGCCGCAGGGAGTGGTCCTGGGCACGGAAGGCACAGCGCGGCAGGACGGCCACTGGCGTGTCCTCTCCAGGGCGTTTCCTCCCAGAGCTGCGGCCGGACCGCAAGGCCCCACCCGGAGGAGCAGACGGACCAGGAGCCTGGGCTCTGCACCAGGCTCTGAGACCCTGCCAGCCTCCTCCCTGGCAGCAGCCTTGGCCTCTGGCCCCCTCCTCAGACAGCTCGCCAGTGGAGCCTCAGCCCTGTCTGCAGCAGGTGGGCGCGGAGTGCCCCTGCGGAGGGGAAGGGAGGGGCCGGGCACCAGGGGCTGTGCAGGGCGCTCCTGGAGACCAGCTGGCTGAAGACGGAGGGAGGGGAGCAGAGCTGTGGGGACAGATGGGTGTCTCAATCAGCAGGACCAGTTATCCCTGCACCTTCCCATGAGCGGGTGCTGGGCTGACACAGCAGGATGCCCCTGCGGACCAAGGATGTGGCCCAGCCCTGGAGCAGGGGCCCAGCCTGCCCGTCCACCTGCAGGCCCCTGGGCACGCAGCGCCTCGAGAAGGGTGTGGAACCTGCAGATAAAGTGAATCAGTGCTTGTGGTGTGCAGCGGAGGGGCAGCCCCAGGAGGGAGTGGCATGAGTAGCAGTGAGCTCGAGCCAGTGCCAGGGCCGATAGAGACAGGATGTCATCGGGGTGAGGCCAGTCCTGGCCCTGGGGAGGGGCAAGGGCTGTGATGTCGACCGGAAGGAGGTGGCGAGGCTGCTGCAGGCTGGGGGGGAGGGTGGGTACTGGGGGAGGGCAACCCTGAGGCCTGCTCACTGCTTCCCCGCCAACCTGCACCTGCCTGGAGGCTCTCGCCTCTTTGTGGGGTGTGGGGCCCCCACCTGCAGGGCACCCACCTCCTTCCAGGCTGGCGGAGGCCCCGCAGCGGCCAGCGCAGGGGGCCATCAGCAACACTGGCCCGGGTGACCAGTGAAAAGACCAAAGAGGATGTTGGTGTGAGTGGGGCTGGGGTACGTGGCCGAAGTGGGGTTGGCTGGGTCAGGGCTGCCAGCCTCAGGGTGGGGGTGCGTGACAGTCTCAGGGAGGCATCCTGGCCTGCAGGGCAGGGACCCGGTGACAGCCCGGGTCCTGCTCGGCTTCCCCGGGAAGCCGGCCCGGAGCTTAGTGTTTCTTTGCGCAGCTCCAGCCTGGCTGCGAGGGCGGGGCGGTGAGGCCTCTGCCTCTGCGTGGGGGCGGGGCAAAAGCAGAAGTCCTGTCCTGTGCTGCTGGTGAGATAATACAAACTGTCTCACAGGAAGACAGAGGGACAGACGTGGGGATGGGGAGAGGAAGGGCCAGGGAGGAAGGAAGAAAGGGGAACTGAGGAGGAGAGGGAGGAAGGGTCCATGGGGAGTGAGGCATGGGTGTGATCGCAGGAGTGTGATCAGGCGCCTGTTGAGTGCGCCCGTGGCCAACGGGGAAGTCCCATGTGGCCCCGTCCAGCGCTGTCCCTGCCCCTGGTTCTCGGCCCCGAGGCCTGCTGGGAGGCCCCGGTGTGCACCTCAGTACATGTCCTTGTAGATCTCCTGGAGCAGGGGGTGCAGTGAGGTCTCCGTCTCGGTCTTCTTGATCCGCTGCATCATCTGGGCGTGCTCGGTGACCAGCTGCCGCAGGTCGGCCATCTTCTGCAGCAGCTTGGGGAAGAGGTACTGGGCGTCGGGGTGGTTGGCGTGCAGGTGGAACTCCAGGGCACGCAGGATGGTGTCCTGGATGGCCTCCACCTGGGGCACGTTCATGAGGCCCGGCCGGTCTGTGGGGACACGGGGCCCAGGTGAGGGAGGGGGCAGGCACGCCGGGGTCTCAGGTGGCAGAGGAGCACTGGCAGGGGGACCTGGCTCGGGGCACAGCAGGCCTCCTGGTGGTGACAGACCCGAGGCCGTCCTGCCAGGGACACCCCCTCCTTTGTTTTCCTGGCTCATTTAGTCTCACGGCAGCTCGGCCTGCATTCACTCCCGGCTCTCCCAGGCGAGTGGTGAGGCCTGGGCGGTTTCCTCACCTGCGGACTGGGGATAATGGAGGCGCCTGTGCGCAGGGGGCTGTGCGGGTCATGGTTATAATCCGGGACAGGGAACTAGGACGGTGCCCGTGTGATGTAAGCCGGAGTCAGCACAGTAATTATTATTATTGTGCTGGAATGCAAAAGTATCGGTAAAACAGGTAAAACACAGACTTCTCCTCCACCAGGAGCAGCCCCAGCAGATGCTGGCCTGCGTCCCTTTGGTCTCTCTCTCATCTCCATCCACCCAAGGCAGCGCGGGCCCTGCACGCCCGGCGGTGCCTCACGCCCCACGGCGTGCGGCCTCGCTTACCTCCGCACAGAATGATGGCGGCGATGAAGAGAGCCAGGTCGCTGTCGTCCAGCTCCAGGGCGTTGAACTTGACCGCAAACTCAAACTTGGGCTCGATGATGTCGCTGAAGGGCTTGCGGAGGCTGCGCAGGAACTCGCGGGTGACGAAGCCGGTGCCGTTGGCCACCAGCAGCCCGTCCTTGTTGACGATGGAGGCCAGCATGGCGAAGATGGCCTCGTGCACGCCGTACTTGAGCAGCGTCACCTGGTCGTTGAGGAAGAGGCTGCCGAAGCTGGGGATGCTCTTGGCGAACTCGGTGAGCTCGCGCACCGTCTCCACCGTGGTGCACTGGCAGCGGTAGAAGACGTGCACGCTGATCTCCTTGTAGGGCGGCAGCCCGTTCACCAGCTGCTTCCACACCAGGCCCTTCTCCGCCTGCCACAGCGTCTCCATGTCGTGGATCACAAAGGGCTGAAAACCAGGCCCAGTTGAGAGCCAGGCCTCGGGACCCCCGTGCGCCCCCCGTCTTCCCTGCCCGCTCCGGGAAGTTGGGGGAGGGGGGAGGCCCGGTCTCCCGGGAGCCTGGAGGGCGGCAGGGCACTCACCGCGGTGTGGCTGGTCTTGCCGGTGAGGATGCCGCGGGCCTTCTTCTTGGTCATGTTGAAGTTCTTCAGGTAGGCGCTGTAGATGTGCTTGGAGAAGGCCTTCAGGTCGGCCACCTGCGGGTTGTGTTGACCCCCTTCACTCGCCGTCAGCCCTGCCACCAGCTTCCTCTTCTCGGCCTCTGGCATCCGGCCAAAGCGGATGGCTGCAGGAGAGCAGGGGAGGAGCAGGAGTCATGGAGGAGTGCATGCAGGGCCAGCACCCTAACCTCCTCATCCTGCAGGGCCAGCGGCCTGACAAGTCCTAGAGGCAGCCCGCTGGAATGTTGGGGGCCCTCCAGAATGTAAGCTCCAGGGGCAGGGGTCTGACTGTCTGTCCTGTTCAGTGCCCACACACAAAGGCCCTAACTCGTGGAGCGCCTCGCCGTGGCCCAGAGGGGTGCGAGTGGCCGGTGGAAACAGTCTGGGCAGCGGCCTGTGCCCGAGCCCTCGCTCCGCAGCTTACTTGCCTCCAGACTTCAGATGGGCAGCTCCGTCTTCTTTTTTTTAAAAAAATATATTTTATTGATTTTGTACAGAGAGGAAGGGAGAGAGATAGAGAGCTAGAAACATCGATGAGGGAGAGTCATCGATCAGCTGCCTCTTGCACATCCCCCAATGGGGATATGCCCGCAACCAAGGTACATGCCCTTGACTGGAATCGAACCCGGGACCCTTCAGTCCCCAAGCCGACGCTCTATCCATTGAGCCAAACCAGTCCTGGCTCCGTCTTCTTTCTAACCAGAGAAGCGGGGCTGACACTTAAAGCTCAGTCAGAGCAATTAGGTAAAATTCCCTTGTAAGCACTTAATTGTCATCCTTAGTAACAGAACGGGGGAAAAAAATCTGGCTTCTCTCGGAGAAAAAGCGAGAATAAGTCAGCCCTGAGAGCTCTTGGGGAGTCCCCTCACTTCAGCCAAGTAATGGGGCCCCGGCAGACACAGGAGGGAGGGATCAAACCACAGACCCCAATCCCATCACTAGGAAAAGTCAGCGGACGGAGACTCAGATACTGCCGCCCTCAAAGCTGCAAGGCAGTCAGTGCGTCACCCGGGGGTGAAGACAGCGAGGCTCTCCCTGTCCTCTGGGGGGGTGCCCAGAGGGTAGAGGGGCAGGTGGGCTTTGCAAAGTCCTCCTCTATGGGGTCTGAAGACGAGATGTGCCAGTTGCCAGGAGCCTGGAGCACAGGGGGGGCTGGCCTCCAGGAAACGCCTGCATGCTCCTGGCAGCTGGCACGTGTGGCCGCTTGCTCCCGCCTGCCCTCAGTAACCAGGAAGGGCAGACGCCACAGGCGCTCACAGGGCCTTCCGTGCTGTGCCAGGCGTGAGGTCCTGGGAGCTGGGTCAGTTCCTGCTTTGTCTGGGCCAGAGAGGTGGGGACAGCCCGGCCTGGCACCCCTGGGGTAGGCTGTGCTGGCTCTGAGACTCGGGTCCAGATCAGCCAGATCAGCAGCGGACACAGGGGGCCATGGCGTGCAGGCACACGGAGGCGCCCCTTCTGCTCCAAGACTGGCTTCGCGGGGTGGCGGGCTCTCACCGTTGTGTGACATGCCCAGGGCCAGGCACTTCTGGAAGCGGCAGTACTGGCACTTGTTGCGGTTCTTCTTCTGGATCTTGCAGCTCCGCTCACACTTCTCATATTCCAGCTTCATGCGGATCGTCCGCCGGAAGAAGCCCTGCAGGACGGAGTACGGGGAGGAAAGGCCATGGGGAGGGAGAGCTGGGGAACCCTGGCACACCGGCTGTACTGGGCCCACGTGTGCGTGAAGGTGTAGGGACTCCTGAACTCTGGAAACAGGAGGGGAATTTTGTTGGAAGGAAGTGGGAGAAGATAAACAATTCTAAAACTCTTGAAATATTAAAAATAATATGCCACATTATGCATATTAAATATGCTTCTTTGCTAATTTGGTAACAAACTGTATCATGACTAACCTGATTTATTCATAAATGCATCTGGTTCTGTGCATTTTCTAGCTAGTGGCTTAATAACATGTGAAAATGTGATGGTGTGCGGTGAGGAGGAAGAACCCAGAAGAATGTTTCTTTTTCTCCCCTCAAAGAGCCCCTTCAGGCTTAGAGGTGCAGGAAGAAACCCCAGCCTAAGGCCCGCTCCTTTCTGTCTTTCCCAGCCCGGTCCCCAGGGGGCGCAAGAGGCCAGGGAGCCCAGGTCAGCGGCTAAGGCGCCTGGCAGGGCAGCTGCCAGGGAACCCTCCTCTCCAGCAGGCCCAGCGCTGAGGCTTGGAATGAGCCCAGGCCCTGGCGGCTGCCCAGGCAGGAATTCCGCCGTGGGTATTATCAGGGACCACTCCTGGCAGGGAAAGCCTTTTTGGCAAGTTAACTCACCATGTGGCCACAGCCCCGCCGGCCAGCTGGCACTCCCACGGCCCCTACCTTGCAGCCCTCGCACGCGTGGACGCCGTAGTGGAAGCCGGACGCCCTGTCCCCGCACACGCGGCACTCCATGTTGAGGCTGCTGCCCGGGGCCCCGTCACAGCCCGTCTGCAGCTGGTCCAGCAGCGAGGGTGGGGAGGCGCTCCGGGAGAGGTCTGCAGACACACGACACGGGCGCTTCACGCTCTGCGCCTGAGCCCTTTCTCACTCACACAGCCCCGGCTCTGCCATCCAAGAGCTGGGTGCCACGCGGGCCAACCTTTCCGAGACCAGCTTCTTTGTATGGGATGTGGGGGTGACAGCGTCTCTGGGAGGATGGCCAAGTGTCCAAAGCATCCCCAGAGCTGGCGCAGGTGTCCCAGAAATGGCAGCGCCTTCCTGGGCTGGCCGAGCCCGTGGAGAGGAGAGAGTTTGAAGGGATGGCAGGGTCTATTTATTTATTTATTTTTAAAATCTAGTTTTATTGATTTCAGAGAGGAAAGGAGAGGGAAAAAGAGATAGAAACACCAATGATGAGAGAGAATCACTGATCAGCTGCCTCCTGCACACCCCCTATTGGGGATCAAGCCCACAACCCAGGCATATGCCCTGGACTGGAATAGAACCCAGGACCAGAATTGGACCCAGAACCTTTCAGCCTGCAGTTGGACGCTCTACCCACTGAGCCAAACCTGATAGGGCAGCGGAGTCTCTTCAGATTGTCCTTAGGAAAGGGCCCTTTAGATTGTCTCTTTAGATCGGGGTGTGGAGTGTGTTTTGGGGCGATGGCAGATCCGGGAAGTCTGATTCTTGCATGGCCTGCACAGATGCTTGTAAAGGCACTCCCAAGCTCAAGTTCACTCCCACGAAACGTGCTCACACAGGAAGAGCGTAGGTGTCAGCCACACTGGCTGGCAGTACCCTGAATTTCCACGGTGCTTTTCTATGAACGTACAGCTGTTTGGACCAGGTGCTGGCTTAGCAAGGAGAGCACTTGGCATGGCAACGACTTCAGGGCACACACACGGTCGGAGACTTAGTAAGAACGGCTGGAGTCTCTTCTGAATCTCCTTTGTGCACTCAGAAGTGAGCCCTGCCCGTGGAAAGGGGCCTGCACCGAGCCCCAGCCTCTTGACCCCTCCTGTGCTGCCTTCCACACCAGTCTGCCCATCCGCTGCTCTTTGCTGTCTTCCCTGATGACCAGGAAGTGCCTGGGGCCGGGTCCACATCCCAAATCGGAGCATCGGGGTCCACATCCCTCTAGCTCCCTGGTCCGGGAATGACAGGAGGAAAGCTGCCGCCTGGCCCCCCGTCCTGGACACAGAAGGGGAGCACAACCAGACCACAGAGGGCCGCGCCTCTGCCCTCCCCGTGGGTGAGGCAGGGGTGACACAAGTTCCTGGTTCCTAACACCGCCTGCCCTGTCCCAGAGCCTCCGCCATTCCAAGGGGGATAGCCCCAAGCCCCCAAATGGGGAGAGCGAGCTCCTCCATCTCCTGGGCGAGGAGCTGCAGGGAGACTGCCGCCCGGGAGCGAAGGCTGCTTGGTCCCCGGACGGCCTGTTGCTCGGCGCTGGGCTCTGCCACTACAGTAGGGCCGCGGGCAGGTCCTCGAGCTGCCAGGGCGTCCTGGCCGGAGGGCGCCGGCCTCTCCTGGAGGCCCTGCAGCAGGGCCAGAGAGTCCCTGTAGCTGGGAGCAATGAGGCGCCGTGTAAAACCCTGCGCAGACGCTGGCCCGGGGGCTCCGGCACTTCCTGCTCTGTCTGTGGCTGTGTGCACGTGGGCTTTGTGGCTGGTTCTGTGGCTGCATGTCTGCCTCCTCTGCTAGGCTCAGAGTGTCTCGTCGCCTCAGTGGTCCCCCCTCGTGGTGCTTCCTCGTTCTCCCTGCGGCCCCGGGGGCTTGGCAGTGTCTGGCCAGGTGGTTGCTGCTGGTGCTGAATGCGCAATGCCACCCTCTCTGTTTGTTTGTTTGATGCGCCTACTTGGCCAGGCCGTGGTACCCAGTTTTTGGTCAAACATCAGTCCCGATGCTGCGGAGGTGTTTCTTCGGGGTTATTGCTCTGTGGTGGGAGCAGGCCTCCTGAAGGCAGGAGGAATTCTGTCTCCAGACTGCATCTGGGCGTCAGCAGCAACTTCCCTGGATCCCCCCTGCTGGCCTCTCCTAGAGTTTTGGCTCAGGAGTCCTCACAGCTGCCTGAGCCAAGTCCTTAAAATAAAACCCCCCATCTCCCTTCCTCGCTCTCTCTACACACACACACACACACACACACACACACACACACACACACACGCGCGTCTGGATTTGTTTCTCTAGAGAACCCTAACACAGCGGTGGTGAGGTTTATATCTCGCCTTGGGGCTTACCCGCTGCCCTCTTCAACTTCCCATACATAAAAACACGTGCTCGTTCTTCTGATCAATATTGTGATTAAGATAAACAACGAGACACACCGCTGCTGGGAACGACTGAGCATCACTCACTGTTTGGAGTTCGCGTAAACACGAGCCCTCCCCCAGGGAGTGCAGTGTCAGTGGCACTGTCTTTGGTTACAAGTTGGGCAAAAAGACACTACTGACCTTCTCCCTCCTCAGTGTGGCTGAGTGGCCCTGCTGTCTGGCTCCATTGCTAGAGGCAGACTGCTGTCTGACTGAGGGCGCGGAGGAGCCGGCAGAACCCCCCAGAGCACAGCTCTGAAGTCAGGGCCAGTTCTGCAGGGCTCCCCGCAGCCTCTTCACTCCTGCTGTCCTGGGGCTCCTCGGGGCAGCCAGCCAGCCTCGTCCACGGAATGGCTGCCTGGACACCCCAGCTAAGCATTTGCTGAGAGGACAAGGACAAGGGGAAGGACACTTTATCTTCCTCAGCCTCACACCAGGCCCTGACCTTTCTCTCGGGGTGCCTGGGATGTTCATCACTGAAAAGGGGGGGTGAAGGCAGGAGTGGGGTGAAAGCACCAGCTCCAGCTCCCCACCTCCACCCAGTTGGGGGACCCTGGGCATGTGAGTGTCCTGAGTGCTAAGGACGAGGCCTGTCCTCCCTGCCTCCCTGCGGGGAGGAGGGGGTGCTGGCAGTTCAGAGATGCAGTCAGGCCGAAGCTCTGGAGGGGCAGGAGGAAGCAGCTGTGCAGCCTTCCCGCTGTTTCAGGCTTGAGCTGACCCCATCCTCCAGGGTCCCTGAGGGGACTGTGGAGGGTAAAGTCACAGGGGACTCGTGGGGCGGGGCAGGGAACCAGCAGGTGCCGAGACCTGTGTGTGAACCAGCACCATTTCCTCCTCACCGGGCGGCCCCTGTGGGGAGGAGAAGCCTTTAGGTGAGGAGCAGGCAGGGTGAGGCCCAGCTCCTCCTGCAGCCCTGGTGTGAGATCCCCACACGGATCTGCCCAGCGCCTGCAACTGCGGCTTTTTTGTTTTTAACCTTTTAAAGAAAAGCAATGTATGGCTTTTTGAAGAATGAGAGCACTCCAGGCTTGCTGAGAAAATGCACAGGGCGTGGAGCAGATTATGGCAGATCCTCTCCACCCAGGAGCCGACTAGTGAGTCAGCCCCTCTCATCTGTTGCGTCTACCCCGTGCCTTCTATGATGCATAGGATTGTTTTTAAGTGCTTAGCTGACGGAGTGAAGATTCCTTTTTATTACTATTATTTTTGGTATTTTTGAGAGAGGGAGGAAGGGAGAAACTTCCTCCCTCTCTCAAAAGAGGGAGAGTGAGAGGGAGGCGAGTGAGAGGGAGAAATATCAATTGGCTGCCTCCTGCATGCCCCCTACTGGGATTGAGCCTGAAACCTAGGTATGTGCCCTGACCGGGGTTTGAACCCTTGACCTTTTAGTACATGGGACAATGACCAACTGAGCCACACCAGCCAGGACATACGTAAGGATTTTTAAACGATGGGATGTCCGATTTGTCAGAATGTGCTCCCCTGTCAGCACACTCAGACCTACCTTATCCTTTTCAATGACTCGAGCATTCCATAATATGGCTCTACCACAGTTTACATAACCAGTTCCCCACAGATGGGCACTTGCCAAGTTTTGCTTTTATGAACAGTGCTGCAGTAAACAAGAGCGGACATCTCCGTGCACACTGAGCCAGTGTTTACGGGGACACACTCCCGGGAGGGGACGCAGGGCCCAGGGGACACACATGCTAAGTGCTGGCTGCTGCCCTCCATTCCCGCCATGTCCTACAGGGCCGTGTCCTCACGCTCTGGCCAGCACGTCCCCTCTGCCAGTCCCACATGAAGACACCTTTGATCGGGGAGACTGAAAAATGTTTTGTGTTTTCTAGCCATTTGTATTTGTCCTACTGAGAACTGCCTATTTCTGCTTTTCTGTGCTCGGCTTGTCTTGTACTCTGTGAGAAGTTGCCTATATTACGGCTTTAACATATGGTAATTATGTTAAACAACCCCGCCCTGTTTCAATTACTGCACAAGGAAGTCTTTTTATCGCCACTTCATTGATTTATTGATAAACGGAATCCATCCAGCACAGGGTGGCTGGGCAAATTCTTCCCTACACCCCACTGATAAAACCGCAGATGCTGTCACGGAGCCACCTACCCTGCCTGTGGGCCCAGGCTCGCTGGTCTGCATGTGAACAGCAGGGACGGGTAGGAAACCCCAGGGCAGGACGTCAGTTTGCGGTGACTTCCACCTGCTACAGGGCCAGGGGAGGCAGCGAGGCCACAAGCCCGTGCCCTCCCCTGCCCTTACCTCTTTTGAAGTCCTCAGTGACATCACCTGCTCATTCTGAGTCCCCAGGGTCTTCCCTCTGTCTCCTCCCCTCTGCACCTGTCTCAAGTTCAAAGCAGTATGTTAGTGCTGAGGGACTGACCACGCCTGGCTAGCCAGTCCTCTCCTCTGAGAAAGGCTGGGTCCCCAAAGCCATCCCAGCCACCAGCCAACCCACAGCGGGGTTCCCCTCAGGTCGGGGATACCTTCTCTCAGGCCCTGAAATCACACGTGCCTACGCTGGCCACTCCTGGGTGTCTGGGTGGGGTCAGAGGGCCTGGGTGATGGCTCTTCCTCACCCTACCCACCACGTGCCTGGAGAGGAAGCTCTGAAAAACCCAGGACTTGCTTTGTTGAAAGCAGTGTGGCTCAAGGATTCGGGCTCCCTTAGTGCAGCCACGGCAGGAGCCTGTCCTGCCTCAACAGTGCCTCCAGAGCCTCAACTGTGTTACTGATTTTTAGAGCGAGGAGGGGAGTGGAAGAGGAGGGAGGGGTACATCAATGTGAAAGTGAAATATATTTCTATTGGTTTGAGGGAGAGACAGAAACATTAATGATGAGAGAATCATTGACTGACTGCTTCCTGCATGCTCCCTATTGGGGATCCAGCAGGCAACCACTGCAGGTGCCCTGACAGCAAAAGGAACTGGAAACCTGTTTTGGTAAACAGGACAACGCCCAAGCAACTGAGCCATACCAGCCAGGGCCCCTCCTTAACTTTTAACTCTGAAACCGCCTGCCTCCTTCCCTCAGGCGGCACAGGGATCCAGAGCCCGTCCTTCTGAGACAGGCCTGCTGCTCTGCCTTCAGTCACAGCTGCCGCAGGATCTCCATCACTGAAACCAGCAGCAAGGCCAGGCTGTCCCCTCCTGGCACTATATCCTGACCCCGAGGTCCTCCCCGGGGGAGCGGGCAAGGCCCAGCGCTGTGATGGCACTCAGGCAGCTGGCACAGAGCAGGGTAAGCCAGGGGCTGAGAGCAGTGGGGCCGGGTGCCCTTGAAGGTGGACACAGTGCCCTGATGAGATGATGAAGATGCTGACAGACAGTACAAGGCACCAGAGAAACCTGCCTACATTGCTGCTGAAATAAGAGGAGCTAAAAACTGGCTGCACAAAAGTGATGTTCGTTACCGTTAATCACAGCAACTGCTCAGTACTGATGCCAGACAGTGCAGCTCGATGGTGCGTACAATCAGCACCACACAACTGAGCTGTGTGTTCTGAGTGATCATAACAATCACAGCTACAGGGATCTTTCCAGTGTGTGGTGGCTAATCAGATGGGCCCCTTGCAGTAGCAGTGGTGGAACAACCATGACAACATGCATGACACACGCAAATTTCAGTAACTGTCACAGAGCCCACTCTGCACCCCAGGGATTCTGCCTGGTGTCCGGAGAGAAGTGGTGCCCGGCCCACAGTCTGCAGCTGCTGAGCAGCACAGCGGGGCCGGAGCCAGGCGAGCGGCTTCAGCACCACCAGAGCCCAGGACTGCTCCTCTGCACTCCCCCCGCCTCCTCACCTGTGCAGCTGCTGGAGGGAAGCGGGTGCTCTGGCTCTCCATTGAGCTCTGCGGCTCCTTGTGTCTGTGCCACTTCCTCTTTCTCCTCCTCTTCCCGGACCTCAGGGGCTTCCTCCGGTGGCTGCTCCATGGCTGATTTCCCCTCGGCGCCACGCCTGCAGGCCCGGTCATAGCTCCGGCATCATCTGGGTCTGGACGCAGATGGACCCCAAGGCAGTTCCGTCAGCCTGGGCAAAGGGGAAGACAGGAAGAGGATGAGAGGGCGGTGAGAGGGGCCATGACTCAGAGCCATCCGGGGCCAGCAGAGCAGGAGCACCTCACCTGCAGGCTCTCCCTCGGTCTCCACTCCTCGCATCAGGTCACTTTCCCTCGCACCCTTTGCCCACTCGCTCTTGCAGCAGGTCTGTGGGGCTCAGAGCAGTTCCTATCACTCAAATGGGGTGACACAGCCCTCTGCTCCCTTCCCCTGCCTCCTCTGCAGCATCCTGCGCTTTGAGTTCCTGCGGCTTCAGGAGACACACGAGAAGGCCTTGAGGGGCTTTTCCAAAACCCGGTCTCCCGGGAGATCCTGCTACGGGTCACATCTCCCAGCCCCTTCCTCCGCACCAGTTCCCAGGGCCCAGAATCACTGCCCTCCAAAGCCCCTTCCTGAAGGAGGCGCTGGGGCAGATAAAAGGCAGGAGCTCCCCCGAGGCTCGCCACAGCGACAGCAGGTCCGCAGAGCCATCAGGCAAGGGGAGACACGCTGTCCTGGCATCTCCCAACCGGTGGGTTCCTGGATGGTGACCCCATGGTTACACCACCAGGAGGAGATGGTTCTAAGACCCTGAAACTAAGATATTGTTACAAATGCCACAGCTAGAGGGGTAAGCGCCGGAGAGAGTCTTCCCGGCAGGGAACGGTGGGTTTTGGCCAGGGGAGATGGTAGGGAACTCGATAAAGCTTGAGAGGAGACTTGGAGGCAGCACAGTGGGAGCGGCGAGGCGTCCTGTGGGCTGGGGAGTGCGGTGCTAGGAGCGGGGACCTGGCAGGGTGGCGGGAGGTGGTTGTGCCCAAGGCAGGTGTGCTTCAGTGCTTCTGTCCATGTCAGGACAGGCCGGAGGGTCAGGAGCAGAGAAGACCTGCTCTAGAGATTCAAGCACCTGTGAAACCCCTTATCCTGAGGTCCCACAGGCACTCAAACTCAACCTGTCCCAACAGAACCCCCGTCTTCCCTCACTCCCGCTTCTCCGAACCCCCATTTCAGTGACCCACACGCCCATCTACCCACTGGTCAGAGCGAGAGAGGAGCCACGGAGACTCGCCCTCTCACTCCCCCGCCCAGCCTGCAGGGCTGCACTGGAGCAGCGGGAGTGTGATGACCGGACGGCTGCACTCCTCCCAGAGAGCCTCGGGCTGGGAGCAGCTTGGACATTTTTGTTTTAATTCCCCTGGTGATCCCTTCCCATCAGGCATTCCTTCATCTTCCCCTGCCTGGACTGACACAGAACCTCTCAGCTGGTCTCCCGAAGGCTGTCAGTCTGAGAGCTGGGGAGCTGGACACCTGTAATTGGGGCCCCTTGTTGATGTGACAGCCACAGGAAGGGATTCAGCGCTCCAAGGGAGACAGTGACACAGCAGGGAAGGACAGAGGAAGAGGCACCAGAGCAGACAATGGGCAGTGGCCAGAGGCAGGACGGACTCGGGACAGCTTGGCGTCTCAGAGCCAAGAGAAGGGCTGTTTTTCAGGGGGAAGGGGTCAACCGGCTCAAATGCCGCCGCGTTTTAAGGGCGATAAACCGATCCCACTGGATTCAGTGACTGTGAGGTCATCAACGACCTCGAGAGACAAGTTCCAGCCAAGTGGTTGGGATGGAAACCGGGGCTCTCAGAATTAGTGCTAGCGAGGAAGCTGGGACAGTGGGCGGAGATTAATTTTTGGTGACTATGTCAGGGGAAGAAATGTATACACACTAGACTGAGAAAGCAGCAAAGCTGGGGAGAGGTTTTTCATAATAAAGGAAATTCAAATAAGCTGTGGGCAGAGGAGAGGTCTGTGGGAGATTCAAGGGGGAAGCCAGGGCAGGATGACTAGTGGGAAGGGAATGGTTCAAGGGTCTAGGATGAGGGAAATACAAAGCAGCATCACAGCAGTGTGTATGTCTCTCTGTGTATGTATGTATGTGTGTATGTGTGTGTGTGTGTATATGTGTATGTATGTGTGTCTCTGTATGTGTGTATGTGTGTATATGTGTGTGTTTGTGTCTCTGTGTGTATGTGTGTGTGTGTGTGTGTGTGTGTGTGTGTGTTTGGGGGTGGGGGTAAAGGTCACATGGAATGGCCTCTCTGTGAGAGTGGATGATGGGACTTGAAGAAAGCAGAGGGCTGGGGGAGGAGAGACAGTCTGGCAAACATGATAGGGAATGAGCTGGAAAAGAATGAAAAGAATTAAAGGAAAGCCAATATAACTGAAACAGGGAGGTACTGGCACTGGAACAGACAATCAATAAAGAGAATACAGAAGTCTATAAATAGATGCAAACACAGGGAGCTTTAATATGTTATAAAGATAGCACTTCAAATCAAAGGGGAAAGGTGGATCCTTCAATAAATGGTATGTACTGATCCCTACCTTACATCTTATACTGAGATAAGGCCCAAACAAGTCAATGATTTTGAAGTTAAAACAAACATACACTATACCAGCAGTCTGGAGATGGGGAGAAGAGCTAAGAATGACACAAAACTTTATGAGTTAAAAGAGTAGGGTAAAGCCGGGACCGGTTTGGCTCAGTGGATAGAGCATCGGCCTGCGGACTGAAAGGTCCCGGGTTCGATTCCAGTCAAGGGCATGTACCTTGGTTGCGGGCACATCCCCAGTGGGGGATGTGCAAGAGGCAGCTGGTTGATGTTTCTCTCTCATCGACGTTTCTGACTCTCTGTCCCTCTCAATTCCTCTCTGTGTAATATCAATAAAATATATTAAAAAAAGAAAAAAAAAGAGCCGAAACCGGTTTGGCTCAGTGGTAGAGCGTCGGTCTGCGGACTGAAAGGTCCCAGGTTCGATTCCGGTCAGGGGCATGTACATTGGTTGCGGGCACATCCCCAGTAGGGGGTGTGCAAGAGGCAGCTGGTCGATATTTCTCTCGTCGACGTTTCTAGCTCTCTATCTCCCTTCCTCTCTGTAAAAAAATCAATAAAATATATTTAAAAAAGAAAAGAAAAGAAAAAGAGAAAAAAAAAAGAAATATACCAGCTGTAAAATATTTAAAAAAGAGTAGGGTAAAGATTAATAAGTTTGATTACAAAAAACAAACTTTCTACATAGTAAAAAAAAAAAAAAAAAAAAAAAAAAAAAAAAAAAAAAGTAAGAAAAAAACATAATAAATTGAGAAAAAGATTTGCAGCTCTCATCAGATAAAGGGCTAGTTTCCCTAAATCCTGCAAATTAATAAGCAAAAGACCAGCAATCCAATAATAAAATGGGCTGAGGTATACAGAGCTCAGCTGGTGGCTCAGTTGACTGAGCATTGTCCCATGCACCAAGAGGTGGCTGGTTCGATTCCTGGTCAGGCACATGCCTGGGTTTTGAGCTCAACCTCCAGTAGGGAACATGCAGAAGACAGCTGATCGATATTTCTATTAGCTCATTGATGTTTCTATCTCATTCTCTCCTTCTCCCTTCCTCTTTCTCTAAAAAATAAAAATAGAAAAATAAAAAAATCAATCAAAATGTATTTTAAAAATGCATACAGAAAAGCTATACTTGTGGCTCTTAAATATGTGAAAAGATGCTCATCATCATTCATAAAAAGAGAAATGTAAATGGAAACAACAGTGAAATACACTCTTTAAGATCAGATTAAAACAAATGCTAATGCATTGTTGCTAAACACGTGGAAATATAATCTCACACATCCCCGTTGGAAAGGTAAATGGCACAACCTCTAAAGAGGCTAATTTGGCTATATCTATCCAAATTACAAGCACACATGACTTTTGACCCAGAAAAACCACTTGCAGCTTGTCACATAAGCTATACTTCCACCAGAGCAAAATAACACAATGTATTAGTACAAGGTTACTCATTACAGTATTATTTGACTAGTACGAGGTGGGCAACCATCTCGAAGCCCACTAACAAGGGCCTTATGAAATAGATCATGACACGGAAACATGCAGCTTTATGCAGCCACAAAGAACACCACCACCATGGACTGGCAATGGAAGTCAAACACACAAGGAAAATTTTCAAAGGTAACAAGATACCATACACAGGAACATGTAACTTCCAAATTATTCCGGCAGGATGGGGAACTTAGAAGTCATGTGGAACGCTAGCTTCCGGCCTGAGAAAGTCTCACAGACAGGACTATGGAGACAGAACACCTAAATGCAACGTAGGATGGTGCATGGGGTCCTGACACAGAGGAGAAGCTCCAGACAATCCTGCTGAGCGGAGTGGATGGCGTTGTCCTGTGCCCATCTTAGTGTTGGAAGGGGCATGCTGCCATGTCTAATGTCGATGTCGGGGAAAGCGGACGACACCCGAGGAGCCCGGTCACTGTTCTGCGGGGCTGCGGAACCAGCCCTGAGTGCCCACCTCTGACTACTTGTAGGTGAACACATTAAAGGCCTGTTTTCCATGGCACCGCCTACAGCTGAACACAGTCCCAAGTGAGACAGGACAGAAGGAGCCTGAGCTGCGGAGAGTGGATTGTGGGGAGGGGCTGCTGACAACACTGGCAAAGGACCTTGGCCACCTCCAAGGGCAGTCTGTAACTCTAAAGAGATCAGCTTTGTCCAAATCACTAGGACCAGAGACACTGATTCTTCGTGTTTCAATAAACCGAAGCATCTGGAGGTGAGGGGCAGGGGCTGGTGAGGGAGGAGACCCTCAGCCAGGCCACACCTGAAAGGCTGCGGGAGGGTCCTGAGGAGAAGCATCCAGAGGATGAGCAGCTCGGTGACAGAGGGCCAGACAATGTGATGTCTGGAAGCCTTGAGCTCAGTGGTGGCACTGGCCAGAGGGGTGAGGGGACACGGGGAAATGCACATCAGTGGTGATCAGGGCCAGTGAGTGGGGGACATGAAGATTTGGGGTTTCCCCTAGCAGGTAGAAACAGAGCAGCAAAAACTACAACACTGCCTTATGGAGATACTTGTCAAAAAATATTTTCTCACACACTGCCTCATGACCTCTGCGTGACCTTGGGAGATGGGAGGCAGAGTTCATTGTCATGTCTGAATCCTGGAGGGCGGGGGAGGCACCTGCTGGGTACATGATAAACAGGCCCTGCTCCACCCTCCGAGCCCAAACGAGAGCCTGTGTGCCCCCTGGGCAGATGGGAGAAGTGACAAAAACCCAGGCCTGCAGAGCCTGACAGGTGTCCTTGCAACACACCAGAGGATGCCGTCGACGACCATGGGGTTTCGGACACATGGAGGGGCAGCCTGGCTAGGCCTTGGCGATCTGTGTGCCCGAGACCCCTGAGCCTCAGCTTCTGCTTCCCCACTAGCTGGCTGGTTAGGTTACCATGCTCAGGGCTACTGTTCTCTGAGTCTGGGGTGCACATGGCGGCCCCCTGTGCACCCCAGACTCTGAGAACAGTATGTGCCCAGATGTGGTCTGGGCGATGGCTGGAGTTTTGGATTCAGGGCTAGGGTTCCTGGATTCCAGCCTGGAATGTCTCTCTGGCCGTGACCTCCTAAGGACACCAGCTGAAGGGGGAGGGGAGCCGCCGTCTGGCTACTCCAAAACCCACACACATCCCTTGGGCTGTTTCGTCTTTAGATGCAACCACAGCACTGCGCCATCCCAGCCTTTTTCCGGAAGCCATCCACCAGCACCAAGGCTGCCCCACACCCACCACTGTCCTCAGCTTGTCTGGCCAGGAACTACTTTGACACCTGGCCCCTCCCAGGCCCAGGCCCACAGGCTGGATTTTCCCAGGTAGCTGCCACTCACCACTGTCCTTGCAAAGAATCCTATTCCCTCTTCCCTCTTCAGGCCTGGCACTAAAAATAGCAGCCCCGGCACTCGTTTACATTTTAGGTGGCTGCGCTGAGCAATCCTGGTCTTCGCTGTGCCCCACCCCTGCACTGTGCCAGAGCCAGGAACTCTGATCATGGCAGAGCTTCCCCCCTTAGGAGGTTGGCGCTGACCTCAGACAGGTAAGGGTCCTGCAGCCGGAGTGAGGAGGCCTGCTCCACTGCCCCTTGGGGACAAAAAGTAGTAGCTAGCAAAAGAATTTTTACCAAACAAATGCCTGGACTGCTCTGACCCTGGTGCACGAACACACACACACACACACACACACACACACACACACACGCAGCACACATGTGACCCCAGTGTTCTCATTCCAAGACCTTTTGCCCCAAGGAGCAACTCAGATGTTTTGGGAGCTAAGCGGGGGGAGGGGGCATAACTCCATTCAGTTCCCACTGGGCAGGTGAGGTTAGGAGCTTACCCCAAGTGACCCAGAGCCCCAGGGAGGTCTGGTCTAGGGCCGAGCAACAAAGCCACCTAGAGCCTTAACCTTGCCAAGTCTAGTGTCCTCAGGAGATGGAGCCTTCCTCACGCCCGCACTGGGGCTGTACTTCTGGGTGGGCTCAGGGAGTGTGCCAGGCCCCCTCACCGTGTGGCACAGCCTCAGAGCCTTGCTGGTCACCAGACCCCAGGCCTGGTCACAGCTGCAGAGCCTCGGCTCACCACCTCCATCACCAGGGTCCTTCCATTCTCCAGACTTACACACACCAGGTAGGGCCATGTGTGCACACACATCTCATCCTCACAGCCACCTGAGTCAGGTACTGTTCCCATCCCCGTTTAACTGACGAGGAAACCGTGGAACAGAGGGAAAGTAACTGCTCCGGGTCACACACTAACAGAAGGAGCAGGATTCGAGCCCAGGCAGGTTGGCTCAAGTCCCAATCACGGTGCTGTACTCCGGCGTGGTGCTGGTGAGCCTGGACCTGAAGCTGGTACGTCCCTGCCCAGCTGGGGCCCCAGGGCTGGAAGCTGCCCTTAGACCCAGCCTGGAGCCATCACCCTGAAACCTCTGTTGCGCCGCCAGGTGCTATTTCTGTCAAGAACACCCCGATCAAAGCCCTCTGGACACTCCCTGCCAGAAGACAACAGCTGTGCGCTCAAGGCAGCCACAGGCGCTGCTCCCGGCTCCCTCTCCAGCCCATCCCAGGTGCCCACAGCACTCCCCGAACACGCTCAGCCTGGAATGCTGCCTCTGCCAGCTGGGCCTGCTCCTTCACACCCACTGCACCTCCTCCTTCCGGAAGCTCTCCTTGACCGGCTCCACTGTTCCTTCCTGCTGCAGCCCCGGCCAGGCCCTCCAGCTCTGCAATTACCGCACCAAACTGCCAGTCTGTTAACGGCTCTGTCCTCACCACGTTATCAGCATCCCAGGCAGTGCCCTCTATCTTGCCAAGGTAGGACCCAGCGCCAGCACGGGGCTCAGCATTTAGTGGGTGTTCAACATACATTTGTTGAATGAACATGCAGGCTAAAAGCATTCACCACTGTCACACTGTTCTCAGTCACAGCATTTGCCACTGTGTTGATTCTCACGTATTCCTGCTGTTGAGATGCAATATCTCAGAAATTAATTCCACTGACTTTGGCGTGAGGCCTGGATTCAAACCCTGACTCTGCACCGCACCAGTTCAGGTGAAGACACCAACCCCTCCGAGTTTCTCAGCGCTAAGACCGGGATACCACCTAGCCTGAGCAGTTGTCCTAGGGAGTAAGCACGCACACTGCTTACCAGTGCTGCCATACAGTAAGTGTCCAACCAAGAGGGGCTGTGGCTGCTGCTGTTACTGTCACCGTTGGCTCATTTTAGGGACCAAATGAGCAAGTGGTATCCAGGCCCAGAACTGGACCAGCCTACTGGAATTCCAGGGACATGAGCACACAATTTCCCACTCCTTCCTTACATCCACCGTGGGAGCAGACCTGACAGGAAGCTCCCTACTCCGGCGCAGGCTTTGCTGTTCAGAGAGATGATCCAAACCCTCCTCCACTTCTCCCCGCTCCGCCCCCCACTGCACTCTCGGAGCATGCCCCTCCAGGATGGGTACCAGGAGGTGTTCCTGAGAGGTGGCCTTCGACCCAGAGGCGGGTGAGTGGGGTTACAGGGCAATGTGGAGACATTGGGGAAGGCCCTCTGAGGGAGGCTGGCACGGAAGGGCTGTGTGGCTGGCGTGCCAGGAAGGCAGAGAGGCTGGCAATGCCCGGCCTCAAAGGGTAAGTGAAGGATGGGTTTATCCAAAGAGCAGCAGAGAGCGTAGGGAGGGCTATGAAGACGATGGACAGGTTCAGAGCTGCATTTGAAAAGAATCCCTCTGGAGGACGGACTGGAGATTTTTCCGCTGGACTCGGAACTAGGGTTGCAAAGCAAGTGGGGGCACTGGTGGGAGGGAGAGGCCACCTCCTGAATCCTGGACACCTGCCTCTTCAATTCCTCGGGAGAGCCAGGCTGAGGAGCCAGGCAGGAGAGCCTCACCCGGAGCCGAGCCGCATGCTCCCCGGGGCCCTCCTGTGCCGCCCGAGTGAAGCGGCAGGGAGGGCAGGGCAGGGCGGGGCAGGGCGGGGCAGAAGAGCTCCACGGCCCTGCCTGCTGACTCCCTGGCTCAGCCTCCCAGTGCTGTTCTGATCTTGGTGACTCCCGGCTACGACCACTCCCATCTGGGAGCACAAGTGGCTTTGGCACATTTGGCAAGAGACCAACTGACTCGAAGAGCACATCCCTAGCCTGAAACTCCATCCAAACGCCTCCAACTTCTGACACACATCTCTAGGAACCCTGGGCCAGGTACGCTACTCACACCCTTTTCTTCTTAAACATCTAAGACTAGGACACCAGCCAGCCTTTTAATGTTCATGAAATAATCTCTCTAAGCTCAGGGAGAAGAATGCAGACAAAACTGAGTGTGCTGAGCACCCACAGTGCCCTCCGAGGGCAGCTCTGACCAATGATGCCTCCTGCAGGGTGTGGGGATGGAGGCTGGTGGCAAAGCAAGGGCAGTGCCCTGACAGGAGGCAGGCCCAGCCCAGGAACAACAGGACACCCAGCTGGAGGTGGAAGGCCGAGGTGCAGCAGGGCTGAGTGACTCCGGGGCCTCCCCAAGGACAGAGGGGCCGGAAGAGCCCTCAGAGGAGCCAGGACCAGCCAGGTCAGCGCAGGAGAAACTGGGCCCAAGTCCAAGCTACCCTGAAAGTGCTCGTGCCTGTAACCTGGTAATTCTCCTCACAGGAAAATGGACTAGGCTGTTCGATGCAGTGCTACTTACAAAAATGAAATCAATTTTTATAAGAATGAAATGTTGTATTAATGAAAAGTAACAGAAATATCTCAATGTCCAATAGAGATATGGTTAAATAAGTGAGGGCACCCCTAGAAAATGGATTGTTATCCAGCCATGAAACTCATGTTTTCATAGGGTATTTAGTAACTTTGGTGGGAAATATTATAGCAGAATTCAATTATATAGCAAAAACCCTATAAAAATGACTAGCGAACGAATGGAAGTTTCCATGTATGCTTAGGGCAGCAGGTGATTTACTGTTCTCATGTCACTGAATGTCCTAACCTTTCTGTGCTGGACATGCATTATCGCCATCTCACTTGACCTCTCAGAGCACGTGGTGCACTGCGGAGTCCTCCGTTACGCCTCCTCCTCTCTTGGCCCAGGCTTCCCTCTGACCTCGCTGGCTGCTCCTTAGCAATCTCTCTGCTGGAGCCAGTGAGCAATTTCCTCCTGCCCACTTAGGTCTCCTTCAATCTACACCCTCCCTGCATGACTTCATGCTCGCTCGTGGCTTTCGATACCTTCAATACACTGATGGCTCCTATATATTCTCCAGCCCAGGTTCTCTGGTATGGATGGCCAATGGTATCACAAGTCTAACACATCCAAACCAAGCCCTTGACCTCACCCCCCACCCCCTCCGCCCGCCCCCCCCCCGCCAACATCAGTCCCATCTCAGTAAATGTCAATTCCAAGTTTCTAGTTCGTCAGGCCAAAATGTTGGTGCCAGCAAATCCTTTTGGTCTGCTTTTAATAAATTCCCAGATTTGAATCACTTCTCATCACTTGCACTGCTATGACCCTGGTCTGAGTTAACATATTCTCTCCCCGCCCCCCTCCCCCCCCTTTTCTTGTTAATCCTCACCCAAGGATATTTTCTCATTAATTTTTAGAGAGAGTGGAAGGGAGGGGAGAGACACAGAGAGAAAAACATCGATGTGAGAGAAACACATCTTGGCTGCCTCCCGACCGGAGCTGAGGATCGAGCCTGCAACTAAGGTGCGTGCCCCCTTGATGAAATTGAACCCACAACCCATGCTTTCCAATAAATCATTAGTCTGGGTATTGACTAATTTGTGTTAGTTTTTTGACAATTGTGGCCTGGCACATGGTGGCAGGTGCTAAACAATTTTTGCTGAATGAGTGAATGAAAACAGCGGGCAGTCTGCAGGACGACATTCTATCCCTTAGCCAAACCGGCTAGGGGGGGTGTCTCTCTCTCTCTCTCTCTCTCTCTCTCTCTCTCTCTCTCTCTCTCTCTCGTTGTTAATCCTCACCAAAGGGTATTTTTTTCCATTGATTTTTAGAGAGAGTGGAAGGGAGAGATAAGAGGTAGAGAGAAAAACATCGGTGAGAAAGCAACACATTGATTGGTTGCCTCCCGCATACACCCCAACTGGGGCCAAGGATTGAACCTGCAACCAAGGATTGAACCATGACCTTCAGTAGGATTTAAACCCACAGTCCTTTGGTGCTCAGGCCGACATTCTAACCTCTGAACAACACCAGCCAAGGCAAGCCAACATCATCTCTTGCCTGGATTATTGCAATAGCCTCCTAACTGGCTTTACCCTCCCACCCTTCCCACCAGTCAGAATGATCCTTTTCAGTCAGATCCGCCCCTTCTGTGATCAGATCCCTCCAGGAGCTTCCTGTCCATCTGTACACCGGCCTGCGAGGCCTTCCCTCCCCCCTCCTGATACTCAGCCAGGCTGGTCTTGATCAGAGCAGGCACATTTGCCTCAGGGGCTCTGCAATTGTTCCCTCCAGCTGAAAATGTCCTACCTATTTACATGGCTGGCTGCCTCACCTCCTCAGGGCTTTGCTTAAACATGACAGTCAACCTGACCACAGTCAACCCAGATCTCCCTTGGGTTCTTCCATTTCCCTTCTCTGCTACAGTGTATTCAGTAGCTCTTGCCACTATCTGGAATAGTATGCACGCATGCATGTATACATATGTATAGAACATATATGTGTGTGTGTTTGTATAGGTATATACACATATATGTACTAGAGGCCCAGTGCATGAAAATTCATGCACTGGAGGTGGGGGGGAGGTCCCTCAGCCCGGGCTGCCCCTCTCACAGTCGAGATCCCTCAGGGGCGGGAGGCAATCCGGCAATCAGGGGAAGGTGACCCCCTCACACCTCTGCTGCTGCCACTGCCGGCAGCACAAGCCTCGGCTGGCCCTGGTTACTGGTGTGCCTGCCACCCCAGTGGGGGAGAGGGGACTGGGCACTGCCATCTTTAAGGTGGGCCAGTCCATTAGCACATTCCCTCCTTATTGGCTGTGGGCAAGGCCATTTTTGCAACGGTGTGAGGATCAATTAGAATATTAGCCCTCTATTACATAGGATATGTATTTTTAAAACTCATATGTTTACTGTTTGTGTCCCCCCCAAAAGAATATAAACCTCACAAGGCAGAGATTTTCATGTTCGATTCATACTAATCCTCAAGACAGAGGAGTGACTTGGAGATAATAAATTTGCTGGGTAGATGAATAGTTTTTATAACTGGAAAAAAGATTTCCATTCATGGACCGGCCCCATAGAGATCACCTGTCCTCAGTTGTCCAGCCGCTCTTAGCCCATCCTGTCAGATGAGAGGCTCATCGAGATGACAGTTAACAGGCAGAGCCGGAGCAGGGGACGCAGGAGTCTGGGCAGTGGCTCCCCTGCCGCCCGCCCTGCCGGGGGACTTGGGAGGTAGCTCCTTTGTCCCGGCTTCCTTTCCCCCTCGGAGGGTGCTGGCTGCGTCTGTCCCCTTTGACTCTGCAGTCCTTACTGAGCAGTGCTCCAAGGAGCCGGGTCACTCACAGGACGTGGCTCTCTGCAGGGCAGGGGGTGGGGAGGGGGCAGCTAGTCCTCAGGAGCCTTTAATGTTTACACTCCAGTCAGGGCGGAAGATAAGACCAGCACCTGCACTCTGGGAAAGGCTGTGCATAAACAGGGGAAGGGAGGAGGGAGGCGAGTCCAGAGGAGGAGGAAATGGCCTCTGCTGGAGGCCTCAAAGGTTCAAGGCCAAGCAGAGCTGGGCCATCCAGAAATGACCCAACAACTAAAATATGCTCATTAGAGAAAAAAGAGTTCAGAGAAGAAAATAAAATCAGGAAGTGGTTTATTCTGTATATACAGACTGAGGGGTGGGAGGGGGAATGCAGGCTCCTAGGCCAGGAGAGGGGGTGCAGGCCCAGAGCAGGCTGGGGAAGCAGGTCACAGCCACACACACACAGATGACTCCCATGACTCTTCACACGGGGCCTACCCCGATTCTGGCTGAACCGAACATACACAGCGTTTCCGTGTGCCAGGCATGACAGTAAGCTCCTTACGCAGCATCACAAGTGAGGACTCTGAAGCACCACGGAGGACTAAACCAGAGCAAGGGAGAGGGGAGGACGCTGATACCCCCGGAGCCTGGGTGCAGAGCCAGGAGCCGTCTGCCATCAGGGTGGAGGAGCCGCCTCGCTTTCATTCCTAAACCCCTCATGCTACAATGTGTCCGCATCCTGGCGAGTGGACCCTTCCTCCTCCCGTCCTGCCTGACCTCTGGGCACCCCGCTCAGCCCGCACCACCTTCCTCCCAAAGCCAGTGTCCCAGTGAAACCTGACTGCCAGCCTCCGGCTCCTCTGCGCCCTGTCCATCATTCCCCTTACTGCGCGGCCTCTAAACCCCAATAACCAAGAGGAAGTGGAAGTGTCGGAATAGCAATACTTTAAACCCAAAGCCTATCTTCCATCTTTTCTCCTGAGTCACTGAGAGGCCAAAGTGTCATCTAGGCGCCATCTGATGAACCCGGGGATAAGCCGATTCAGCAGGCCAGAGCCCCTGCCCAGGTTCTGCTGCAGTCCAGGAGGTGAGGAGACGGGAGAGGCTGTGCTCCCAGCCCTGCCAGCACCAGGCCAGGCCCTCCGGGCAGCCTCTCACCTCTCTGGCTCATCCTCCCATCTCTGAGAGGGATTAATATCCTGTGTCTTCCTTACAGCAAGGCTTAGAAAAACATCTGTGTTACACAGAATTCACACACCAAAAGGTTAATGGTGAGTATTTCTTAGGGGTAATTTTTATTTCTGCTCTTGTTGCTTATCTGATTTTCTTAAGTTTCCTATAACGAACATGTGCTGTGTTTAATAAGCAAAAAAAAAAAGTTTGAAAGCATGATACAAACATGAGACATCACTAGCTGAGAACAGCAGCAGCAGCAGCAGCAGCAGCCGAAGCCGCCTCTCTCAGGATGTGGCATTCTGGCCCATGGTGTCA